AATTCTTGCCTCTCCTCGTACCTAGAAAAGCACTAAAATCATCACTGGTGACATCTGCTCCTCGTGACTGGCAGCAGCCCCTCCTGAGCGTGTGCTTGACCGCACGTCCCGCCGTCACTATACGGACCCGCCCCTGCCCTTCGGCGCGGCTCCTCAGAGCTCGCTGAGACGCTGTCTCCCGGGCTGAAGCCCTCGTTTGCCCCCACACTAACTCACATGCTGTGCTTTCCCCCCAATCAACAAAGCTGAATGTCCAAGAAACTGAGAAATTACAATCGTCCAATCACAATCAGATTACAAAACGTTCACAGTAGTTTCTCTCACACTTAATTCGCAACGTCGGCGTGCAAGTTGCTAAGCACTGACTTCCCTGCTTCTGATAACTTTGAAGTGCCTCATTCTACTACAAAAGGGTTTTCTTCTCCTTGTTTTTGATATTCTCTTGCAGAGAGAAAGCTAAATATTTGAATAAACTTCTATTGTGATACTTGTCCTTGCTTCCAGATATACGAGGATCTGTGACGTCCTACGCAGCTGGCAGCCAACCAGCAGACGAGAGGACAGAACCGCGGGCTTCTTATTTTTGAACCGTGGAATTTTCACATCTATGGACCCATCATTTCTAATTTTAAAATGCATGCAACAAAATTATCCGGTTACCTAACTTGAGAAGTTTCTAGAATGTGATGACCCAATTTCCTAGGATGCAGCCTGTCACACACTGAATAACCATCAACAGTCCTGGTGAATCTCAAACAGACCATCTGACTGAGGGTCGACACAGAGGCCCGTGACGTTCAACAGCTGGAACAAAGCCACATTAGCGTGTTGGGGTGGGCAGACCCTGCAAAGATGGCTCAGGCCCGCCCTACGTGGGAAGCCCCACTCCATCACTGTTGTCAGCTTTGTCTTCCTGGACGGGACTCTGTCCTCTCCCCTCTGCATAAAGCACATGTCTGTTGCAGAGAAGGCCCAGCTCACACCCCACCCTCAAACAGGCAATATATTCTGTTTCAATTGAATTCATTTCTTTCCTCCAGAGCGCTTCCCAACACCATGCTGCTGTCATATGAACAAACAGGCAAAATCTGAAGGTAAATATCATTTTAAAACACAAATGAATTAATTTTCTATAATCATCCAAACGATCACTAAAATCATGCTCATACAAAAACTGGACACCTTTTCACATTGGTCACATTACCTCCATGGTCAATGTAGAACGCATTTTATTAAATCCATTCAATAAACTATGAATTTCATTGGAAAATCATCCATGTGATCACGAAACTCTAGCCCTATGTGATGACCTTAAATTCTTGACCCACGAGTTTGAGGGGAACCAATGACAAGAGAGTGCAATAAAAAATAATAAGGTGGCTGCCTGTAAGACGACCCTTCAGTCCATAGGTTCTGAATGAGCGAGAAGAAATTGCTGGCATGGGCTCCTGTGTTAACTAGTATTTATTTATTTAGTGCTACGTAATGTTTTTATTTTTTTAAAAGGCACCATGTTACAAAAACAACTTCAAGTATCCTCTCACCTACCTCGTCATCTCAAAGTAGACATGTCCTGAAACCGTGAAAGTAATGACATACTGCAGATTTCCCTCATCCCAGAAGCAACAGATTTTCATAACAAGTGAATGGAAAAGACAGAGGAGCCTCAGGAGACATCGGTCTGTGGTCATGTTCCCACGTTCTCATTCCTCCCTGGACCCCTGCCCTTCCCCGTGTACCTGCACAGCTCCTCCCACAAAAGGTGGCATTTCCAGTCTGCCCCAGCCACACTGATCTTGGGCGTGGCTGTGGGACGAGCCTTACCGTTTCTAAGGGCACAAGTTACGGGTGTGTCAGTGGTTCAAACGCGCGTGCCAAGAGGCATCACACTCTTGAGCTTCTCCCATCACCATGACAAAAACGTGCTCCAGCGAGCCCACCATTCTCATATAAATATCAGACCTGTGGCCCATGCTTGAGCTGAAAGCTTGCCATAGGACATGCCAAAGTGAGCCATGCCCAGCTCGAATCAGCCACCCCAGACAAACCCCAGACGCCTACGAGGTAAATAAATGCTGTGTGGCCCTGAGTCTTGGAAGAGGTCATTATTTTTACGGCGATGGTAGATGGTGACAGCATCCCAGGACATTAATAATCCTAGGACAGGTATTAACATACATGCAGGTGCGTGCCCCTGGGATATGCGTGTGTATACACGTGTATATGTGTGTTTACTCACCTGTTAAATGAAATAAAATACTATGCATAGCCTTATAAATCAGCAAATGCATTTAAAATATTAGCACTGTGTTTTTCATGTAATAACAGAACAGGTCAATAAATGCCAGCTATATTAATAATAACTACACTGTCATTAACAGTAATATTAAGAGTAGTGTGTTAAAGAGCTCCATGAAGGGAAACGCAAGTTCTATTTCCAATGCCCTTTTTAATTTCATAAATCCACCTGTTGGAATTCACCAGGACACAATTCCCCAATAACAGAACGCAAATCTATCCTGCATCTCACTAGTGTCATTCACGGACAAGCGCATCTGGTTGAATTTTGTAAATAACACTAATGTGGGAAAATGTTGTTATTAGCGTGCTCACTTGCATTTAAGTCTCCTGGGTGATGGACACCTGAGGCGGCCACCTCCACAGCTCAGACAACATAACACTGGAGAGGCGGGGTGGCCGGCAGCCTGTTTCCGTTGCCAACTCCGGGCAGTAAGCCGTGGCTCCGGGTTGCTGCGCCAGAAGGATGATGCAACAGCATGTGCCCGGGTGCTGGCTGTGAAAGAGGCTGCCTGTTCACACTGCACAAGGGAAGGTGTGCAATTCGTCTGTGACGGGGCTTTCTCCTGGTCTGGAGGCAGACATTTAAGGAGCACCTCTTACATTACAGGCCCTTTTACCAGCAGCAGGTTCTGAGGAACCAAAGGGAAAAGGAAGACAAATAAACAATCTGAAAAATGCGGCTCATATTATCTGCCTGAAGCGTGTGCTAACACTCTAAATAGTGACACAACTTAAATGTTTCTGAACACACATCACAACAGATACGATGCGGACGTTCTCATCTGAAAGCTTGCCAGAACCCAGACAGCAGTCAGACCAACACTCGTC